TGGCATAAATCATAAAGTGTATGTTCTACATCCTGGTTTGTTGAGTAGTGCCTAGGGTTTTAAAAATTTGCAAGTGGTTATCTAAGATACAAATATTGGTCTCTAAGCAGAGACCTGTCTGGAGCAAAAATGAAAGAAGGAAAACAAGATTTAAAGAAGTGTTTTGATAGGATTAATAGCCTATGTGAACCACGGCCTTGCCTACCCTGAGACCAGATGAAATAGATGGTGCCTGGTTATCACTACCGACCATTCTGATCAGAGATCGACTCTGATAAAATGGAAGAAAAATGTAGAACAATACTCAAATTCTTAAAAAATTCAGAATGACTGGACAGCTGAGACTAGAGGAACCTTTGAGACTACTGCCTTAAAATACCCTTTAAACTCTGAATTGTAACTTCTGCTGGAGGTCACCTTACAGCTAAATAACAGATTAGCTCAAAAAATAAACATCACCCATGAGTACTGTGCACCTTTAAAAAAAAAAATCTATATGAGACAAAACAGTCAACATTTACCCTAAACCAAAGAGGAGAAGGTAAGGCAGCAGGGCAGGGAAACTAGATTAATGGAAATGGAATTACCAAAACAGAAATAGTAAGAATGACGACACATTGTGAAAAATGTAACCAACCTCACTGAACAAATTGTACCAAAATTGTTAAATGCGAACCTAATTTTCTGTGTACACTTCCACTGAAAACACAATGAAAAAAACCAACATATATATAAACACACACACACACACACACACATATATAAAGTTTTTAGCTTATGCTGCAAATCACTTTAATGTTTAAAAATCACATAACTGTCAAATATATTAAAAACGTTTCCCTCTCCTAAAAATGCTTATAAATGGTTTTTCATTGATAATAAATTTAAATGAAATATTACTGTTATTTTTTATTAAAATACATTGCATTATTTTAACCAAAAACCCAACCCACTGCCATTTAGTCGATTCTGACTCACAGCCACCCTAGAGGACAGAATAGAACTGCCCCATAAGGTTTCCAAGGCTGAAAATCTTTACAGAAGCAGATGGTCTCATTTTTCTCCCACGAAGTGGCTAATGGGTTCAAACCATCAACCTTTTGGTTAGTAGCCCTATGCTTTAACCACTGCGCTACAAGAGCTTCCTGCATTATTTTTAAAACTAACCAGACCCACTGCTATTGAGTCGATTCTGACTCACAGTGACCCTATAGGACAGTGTAGAACTGCCCCATAGGGAATCCAAGGCTGTAAATCTTTCCGGAAGCAGACTGCCTCATCTTTCTCCCGCTGCGCAGCCAGTGAGTTCAAACTGCTAGTTTTTTGGTTATCAGCCCAATGCTTTAACCACAGTGCCACCAGAGCTCCTCTGTACTATTTTAAAGGAGGGTAAAAAAAAAAAAAAAGAATAGGTACTTCTAAGTTTTATGTGTGTGTGTATATATACACGTATGTAGCTCTGATACAATCAGATTGTGTAAACTGATACAGATGAATGAATGAAAAGTGATTTGGTCTGCAAAACAAAACAAGCAACAAAGATTAACATTTTCGTATTTTCAGCATTTGTTGTAAACACCATTGTGCTGCAATGCTGGTACTGATTCGACTACACGAGAGGGGTGAACAGTGGGACTTTCTTAAGCTGTCTCACCAGAGCTATAAGACCTTTTCCTGGAAGAGAGGCTCACCTTTAGTATCCACGATTTCACCTGAGTTTCTGCCACAAAGACATTCGTATTACCTTTCTGACCTTTCAGGCCATCTGGGCCTCTCACGCCAGGGCGGCCAGGGGCTCCTGGTCTCCCCCT